TATTTATCAAATTTCAAAACGTGAAGTATGAAGTGTTGCCATATGTGTCGCATAAGGTTTGTCTCTTCATAGAAGATATAACTTCAAAAAAAAAAAACAATTACGCTAGATTTAATATTTCCATATTTTTATACGATATCTATACGTGGTGCAGATTCGGATAAATTCGGAAACTAATTAATTAGTTGTGCCCACTTCAAAATCATATTGCTTTGAAATTTGAGTTGAGGCAATGTGTTAATGCAGCCAGATACTGGCATTTAACGTATACTGCATGTTTCTATTATTAAATAGAAAATTAATTAACTTAATGAGAAATATTATTTTAAGTAAGCGCTGGCTGTAAGCATATACATATATATGAACATATGTGCATTATGGTGATCTTCCCTATTAGTCATCTGTAAAAAGGGGCATTCTAAGATACTTAGTAAGTTCCCGTTTCTAGCCAATACCACAGATTTTCTAAATACTGAAGAATTAAACCTAAATTCGGTCCCCAATATTGCCTTCCCTTTCAGAAAAGAGTGGAAAAGGGGTAAGGTGGACAGGGATACAAGAATAAATACCTATACGGATCGGACCAAACTAGATATACGGATAGGAGGTGATGTCTATTCAGTAAAATTAGATACCGGAACCATCTTCCAATTACCAGCCCACGGCAGTGTCTTCCAAGCGGCGATCATAGCAATTAAAGAAAGCCTTCTTGTTCTGACAAAGAGTGCGCTCACAACAAGAAATATATCTATATAAGTACGTACTATGTACAGATAACCAAGCGGCTTTGAAATCATGAAAGTGTCTTAGGGTTTCATCAAAGATAGTGAAAGCATGTAACGATCTCTTAGTGCATGGCTTATATTAGAAAAGAATCGCAACTATTGGTCGAAGGTTTCTTGACTATGTCTCGGAGGTTGGAGTATGGTGATTTTAGTCCCTGTGATTTCACAATGGGCCTCGTAAATGTCTAGGTGCGTCGTCTGACATACACCCTGCCTAACTACCTACCCAGGTTGATCCTTAAAAAATCCTACAAACGATTTTTTTTAATCGCTCATGCGAAGGTATCCACCCATGGATCAAAATATCATAAATAGACTTAAACCCTGATTGAGGGTGACTTCAATTCATGATTAAAAAAAACAACACCTTTTCTCGGAGGTCCTCTTGGAGATAGGATATGGGATCAAGGCAATCCAAATCAAAATTAATTGCCGATTATTAAAGCACATTGAATTCTGTAAATCAATATTGTTTTTCTTTTTACCCCTTAAACTGACATATGTATGTACATAAGTACTTCGTAGAAATGAAAATCACGCTAAAAATATGATGAACCGATGAAAATTTGTCCAGGTCAAAATACACGGAAATAAAAACAAGTTTCTATTAAAAATATCAAATTACAGCATTCCTTTCTCACAACATTTTGTAAAAAATTGATTCCAACTGAATGCACAGGATAATTTCATAACAATTTTTATAGCATAAAATCTTAAAGAAATCATAGAAAAACCTATAACCGGCTCAATTGCAGTGTCACCGATTTTCAAGCTGTTCCTCATTGTCCAGTATGCACACATTTACGCGACCACATCTGCCTCTTGATATTTACATATGACTGTATGTACATACATATCTTTGAATGCATGTCCACTTATCTTATGCGACACTAAAGGGATGCTGCACTGGGACCGGATATACGCGCCGGGTGGTGTCAACATATGTTTCACGCCTGGAAAAAGGCAGCATCTCAAGTGAATATTTATTGAGAAATGATGCTACAGAAGGATCTGCTATATGGCAAAATCATGTTAAACGCACATTAATTACCGAATTTGAGTGTCGACGAAGAAGATTCGAAGCTAATTTAGGTGGCAATAAATTGAGCGCACATTTTTCAACAGCGCATTAATGATGGGAAATCAATCAGGTTTCGCAGCAGCGGAAAGGAGAGCTTAGAGAAAGAAGTTAAATGAGTTCTTCAAGCTGTCTGTGTTTCCACGCTGCGAAAAAAAATGTGTTGCGGAAAATCGTACGAGTTTAAAGAACGTGTGCCAATTGCAGGCGCACTCCACACTCCCACACAATCATACATAAATAAATTACACACACATATGTACATACGTAAATTGCATTTACCCACACGTTCAATTAAATTGCCTATTGATGAGTTGCTATTAATCACCAACGCATTTAATGTTTTCACCGAGCTTAATTAAGTAATCAATGTAGCGTGTGCTTATTGTCACACACACATACTTAAGTTAAACACATACCCACCAACACTCGCTTACACCCACACATACACATTAGGCTTCAATTGGCGGCTTCAGTGTTGCAATTGTCATGCTCGGTCGTTAAGGGAGGGGTTAATGCGGTTCGCCTCAAACGATGGTTGGGTTTTTAATTGAACGCCATTCCGCTTGCTAGCTCATTGGCATGTGAGAACTTGAACAGATTTTTAACATTAAAATCCTATAAATAAGCGTTTAGATAAGTGTGCGGGCGCGAGGTGGGGGATGTAGTTGCTGCCTAAGTGTGCATTACATGTCGAGCGGTGTACATTAAAGTGCGAAGTTGGCGAAGTTAATAAAAATATCAAATCCCGTTTTTGAAACTTGGAAAGAGTGAATTCGGGATCCCGAAATTTTTTATCTAATTATAATATTTTTGTTTTTCTAAAGCTTATTTTCAAAGATAATATATTTTTTTAGCACAAATAATTAAGACCCCAAAAAATGGGATTTCGGAAAAAAATTCGGGATCCCGAAATTTTCAATCTAATTATTTTTGTTTTTCCAAAGCTTATTTTTAAAGAAAATATATTTTCAGCGCAAATAATTAAGACCCCGAAATACGGATTTCGAAAAAAATTCGGGAGCCCGAAATACCGTATTCAAAGAAAATATACTTCGGGATCCCGAACATTTGTATTTCAAAAAGGCTTTATATTTTGTTTTCGAAGAAAATATATTTTACTATCCCGAAATTCACTATCCCATTTAAATATACATTGGACATTTTCACATTTTTTGCACATAGCAAGTTTCGCAAAAAAATATTTCATTACTTTGTATACTTGCCATATACCTATAATTCAGGATCCTGAATTAAAAAATTATTTACATTTTTTGTATTCATGTGTATTTTTTATGGTCAGATTCGGGATCCCGAAAAACAACATTATCTTTTTATTTTCTAATACATATTCATTTATTATGGCACAAAATATGCAATATTTGTATGTATGTTCGTGAAAAGGCATACATTTTCTATAAAACCGGGATTCTGAAATAAAATTCGATATTCTATTTCCATATAAATTGTACAACATTTTCACATTGTAAGCGTCGAACATATGTTAATTTGTATAATATCCATGATTCGGGAACCCGCATTCCAACATTATTAATTTTGTTTTATTCATACGCATTTTTTATAGCGCAAAACGTGCTTCATAAACAAGCATACATTTCCTATAAAACTGGGATCCCGAAATTCGATATTCTGTTTGAAAATAAATTGTACAATATTTTTACCTTTTTGAACATTGCAAGTGTTGAAAAGGTGTTAATTTACATAATACCTATGTTTCGGGATCCCGAAATCGAGCAATCGATTTCTGAATCTTCACTACACAAACTATTAATTTGCTGTTGCTGTAAGAGGTTAATTTGTAGCTCACGGCATTGTCTTTTAGTTCACTCGTTTGTTAGTTCGTGCGATTACCGTTGCGCCCGAATGGTATATTTTATTTACCATAAACTCAAATTCGTTACACAGAGCAGCTAAGCCATACATAAGAATGTATACATACATATTTGGATGGTATATATGTATATTCGTATGGCTTACACATATGAAATCTGCTTTCTGGTCGCACTCCAGCATTCATTTTGTGCATTTTCGTATGCTTAACTGGATACTACGGTGCGATAGATGTGTGTGCTGCGCCGAGATACGAGCATTTAACCAGTTTTTGCCTACTCTATTAGAATGTATAAGATTCATTTTAGCTAGCCACTACGCGGTCTTAAGATATTAGATACTATTTTATTTGGTTACGCTTTTGTACTCCTTCGGCATTGTTCGTCTAATAAGCCTATATAATTATATATGTATTTGTCTATATGTGTATGTAAGTATGTATGTTTGGTCGTGCTTGTAGGTGGATTAAGTGGATTATCGGTTACACAGAGTAGTTAGCCGTTTTCGTTATCGCTGTGGTTGGTATTAGTACAAACGCTAGTATTTAGTATATATGTATGTATGTACAGACTAGCTGTAGTTAGCATCGCCTTCACCTTTGCCATTATCCTTTCACATAATCCGTCCATATTGCAGCGAAGGTTATAAGCTACTGTGAAATTTTTCACGGCCCAAACAAGTGGGCAGCTGCTTTTGAAGGTACAAATAACTGGCATTTAATTCTTTAGTTCTTAGCATAATGTTACTTGTAAATATTTAAGAAAACTTTCAAGTATTTTTAGATTTTGATGATTTGATTTAAAATATAAATACTAGGCTAAATAATTTGCGTTGTTTTCTATGACGTGAATGCAGATGGAAATTACGAGCAAATTTGAGCAGTTTCTTAAACAGCCTTTCCTTTCATTGTGGGTTTAGGAATTTTTTGGTTTAGGAATTATTTCTGGCATGGTTTATGCGACTTCAACTGCAAAACAAAACTAAGGAATGAAAAGATTGTTCTTTGAATCACAGAGTGTCTTTCATTGTCAGATTCGATATTAAATATTCAACACAGTACGGATTACACGAAACGAACACCGAGCTATCTTAACTTCTTTGTTTCCCATAAATCTAAGTCTATAACTCTAACTTTAGGATTCAATGCTTGTCTTAAAAAAAAAACAAATCAATATTCGTTAATTTTTTTACCGTTACTATTTTACAACTTTTTTTTATAATTATTAAAATTTTTTTGGAAAATATATATGTATATATGTATAAACTTTTATTAAAGAAGTGCTCACCTGTCGAACTTGCTTGTATTGCTCCTCAAAGCTCCAGGCATTGTTTTGCTGCGAAGAATTAGAAGCTTCACTGGATGTGGAAGAATTTGAAGCGGGGTTAACTGAAATCAGTTGAAATTAAAAAAACGCATTCAAAAACGGAAATCTGGAGGAGGTTTTTAATATAGTCTAAAAAGTTTTTTTTATTAAGTTTTTTGATAACAAAATTTTTTTAAATAATTAATTAGTGTTTAAAAAATTATACGTTTGAATAATTATTTAAAATTTTAGTAATACAAAACACATCTTACAAAAAATTCGAATAATCGAAAAACTAATGAATATCTTAGTTGAATTTGAATTTATTAAATTTTTCAAAACATAGTACGAAATTAGTTAAATAAATATATAATAATATTGAACTTGTAAAATTAATTTCAAATGTAATAAAATTTAGGTTTTTAATTTCTAGTTTCACAAAAAACAAATACGAAAAACTTTAAATTATCAAAAAAAAAAAAACTTGTTTGAATCAAAATTCAATTAATTTTATCAAGTCTCTGGACTACTCACCGTCTTTTGAGCTCGGCGCCGTTGGTGAGGTGAATGAGAAGCCACCATTACCACTGCTTGCACCGCCAACACCACCACCACCACCAACGCCACCGACACCACTGCCCATACCCGGGCCGCCGCTACCGTTAGCGCCACCAAGCAAACCGTTGCCACCATTCGTCAAGCACGACGCTCCGCTCACGCCCACATTATTGCCACCAGTGTGTTGTGAATTTTGTGTATTGCCATTGGCAACGCCAATGTTGCCACCTATACCACTGCCACCGCCCCCCGCTTGTGCGGCCAGACTCTGTGCGCGATGCTCGAACTGTGCTATCGACGTGGGCGGCAGTGAGAATGCGGGATTTAAGCTAGTGGGTAATAGATTTTGCCCAAAGGCAGCCGCATGCGCAGCAGCCGCGTAATCTTGTTCCTGCGCAATAGAAGAAAGCGAATCGTCAATTCCAATATATTTGTGTGGGTGTTTTCAACAAAGTGGATAATGGGCATAGGTCATATGAATTAAAAATTTAGATTAAATTGATATCGAACTATCCATCTCACAGGTATTGAGGCACTATATAGAGTTCTATGAAATTCTATGAAACTTGTGCGGTTGCGATATCCTTCTCTCAGAGATCCTCTGAACTACTTGCTCTTGGCAAAGTCAAGCTCGCCACAATTGTAGCTGCTCTGACTGGACACTGTACAATATCTTGTTGGCCGCTCTTGTTGTACTCTCCCAAAATTTGGTTATGAGACCTTAAGTTTTTTAAATAACCGACACAGTTGTTCTGTGATGGAGGAGGAATAAAAAAAATTTTTTTTTTTTGGCCAGAAAATTCAAATTAATTTTATTTTGCAGAAAAAAGTCGTAGAATTTGTACTTTATGTTATGTGTGTGAGTTTCTTTTTCACATTTTTAATTTTTTTAATAAGTTTTTATAAATGTATGCAACAACACTCACTATTAGACCCACCTTGAAATCGCGAACTTGCATCTTTAACTTCTCCAGGACATCATTGTGTGGTAGATTTGGAATGCCATGTAGACCGCCGATGCCCATGAAATTGCTAAGCGCATTTAGCGGATGATTTGTGGGGAACTGATGATGATGATGACTGAAAATACAACAATAACGCAGAGAAAATCGAAAATTATTGTATATTAACGGCATAGTAAAGAGAAATGGATAATTTCCGCTAGAAATCGCACTTAATTAATTTACCTCATTTGAAGATCAGCGTGATGATCGGGACTGCGCACACCCATGCCACTGCCAACACCAAGACTAACACTGCCGGCGTTGCCACCAAAACTCATATCACCAACAAATGTACTATTGTTGTTGTTGTTATTATTGTTATTGCTATTATGATTATTGCTATGAATGTTTCTGTTTTTGTTGTTGCTGCTATGTTGGCGTTTCAATGTTGCGACATTCAAGCGTGTTGCACGAATTACATGATGATCACCATCGATCGAATCACAATCGCGTATATCATCATCGGATGCGACGTCACGAGACTGTAAATAAAAATGCAGAAAAAATAAATAAATAAATAATAAGAAGAAGAAGCAGCGGGCAAAGCGTTAAGAACAAATGGCATAAAATCATTATTAAATTGATTGCAATCATTTGGTGCAACATGAAAACACATTAAGACTAAGCACACACACACACACACAAATATTCATATATACACAGACCTAGAAGCGCATACATAAAACACGCGCAGAAACACTTCTAGCAACAAAACAAATGAAGCACTTAGAACGGCAAACAAATCGAACGACACTCGGGAAGAACTCAGCGCCAGCGATGGAGTGCCGGCTGGGGTGGAGCGCGATTTTATGGCTACATAGCGCACTGAGGTCGCGTAGATTCCAGCAAACGATCGATCAACATTTGCAACCCACTGCGACAAGTCGAGTGCAGTTGTTATGTTCAACATTTAGCATTCTACATGCAACATGCCATAGCAATGAGGCGACAGGCAACAAGCAACAGTGTATGCGCTATATAAACGCTAAAACGCTGTGCTTAAGCGTCACTTTAGCGAATAGCATATTTCTTATTACACTTTAACGCCAATTATTGTGTTTGCCACATTGCACTTGCGGCATAATCGAATTCAAACGTGATTTTTGCATAAATTGCCAACAATTTTAGATTGTCGCGCAGCCGCATTATAATCGTCATCAATAAGAGAACGAACGGTCGATGGGTCCGAAAAAGTGGCTGAAGAACTTTGCACTGCTGTTGTTGCTGTAGTTATTATATTGCATTGGTAGACCATTAATGAGTTATGATCGACATACCAGCATTTTTTGCTTTTGTTTTTATTGGCGACAGTTTAATGACAGTGCCATATTTTCGTTAACTGGATGCCGAAATATCGGCGTTTTTATAAGGCGATTTCGGAATTACGAAATTTTTGCATTTGTTTTTGTAAGCGATAGTGAGAGAGTGTAATGTTGTTTGTGCTTACTAGATCCCGAAATTTCGGGATTTCCAAAAAGTGATTTCGGGATCCTCTAATTTTTCGGAGAGGACAGTTTAAAGAGATTGTCGAATTTCTGTTTGCATTACTGTATCTCGAAATTTCGGGATTTTCAAAAAGTGATTTCGGGATCCCGAAATTTTTGGATATATGTATTTATTACAAAATTATTTTTATTATTATTGTAATTGCTTTTTTTTATCTAATTAAAGTTTTTTCAGTTTTTTAGTGTCTTATATGTATATGTATGTACATTTGTACATGTATGTATTGTAGTAAATAAAGATATGACTCGAGAAACATATGTTAAATTTTAATATTTAACCTTAATTCAAAATAACTTTATCCAAGTATTTCGAAATATATTTTAGTAGAATTTGTTGCATCGTAATTTTAAATTTCATTTACGAATTATAACCTCAAAATTTTATATCAGTGTTTCGGTACCGGGTCTCGGTAACACTAAACGTGTACTCCTCTATTTAAACTTTTAGCATACGCATATGTAATATTTATTAGATCACTTTTGGTAGTAGTCTGCATTGCAATCTTTGTATTAGGGGAAACGGTCACAGTCAACGGCTCTTAATGACTTTGCCTTTTCGTACGCGACTCTCATGCGCAGTCTGTCATTGTATATTATTAGTTTCTTCATATCTCAAGAACTTGTGCCAAATTCATTTAGCGTTCATTGAACTTGCAATGGCGATACCTAAATAATGCTTGGTTACAACATACTAAATTTGTTCCACTACATACACATGTACATACCTAGACATGTATGTATATGACGTATGTTGTACAATGTCACATGCATTATCTCCCTTTATCAATCGAATATGCATTCAAATATATATATATATGTATATATATATATGGTAATGATCTTTGCTTTTTGAAATATTTTAGTTTATAACTGAACATATATGATAGATGAATGTATGTATAACATACATTTTCGAGTATATAATGAAATTTCTTAATAGCTTTATTAATTTTTTGGAGTTAAACATTCATTAAATTTCTTCCTCATTTCCTCACTTACAGAGTTATCAGTGCTCTTTTTTAATTTTTTAAAATCAAAAAGACACAATCTCTATCACACACGGTCAAAACAAAACTACGAATCCGATTCGGCTAAAATTTTGACAGTAATGGTCTAAGATACGGTACTCCAAGATAGTAATAAACTTACGAAAGAGCAATCAGGCCGTAGGGCTAACCCGTTATGGAACTGACCTCGTATTATACGCTAGTATCCAGCTCAAAAACAAAAGATAAGCCTTTTCGTTCTTTGAAATAATGTGTGAAACACAACTAGACTGCTAAGTACAGTCCTTTGTGAAGCCGGTTGAAAAATTGTATATTTGGATAATAATTCTCGACAAAACGCCTTAAGCCTAGCACAAGTCTGCTTAGCAGCTTTTTTTCTATTTCGGCTTTTTCAGCTGGATGACTAAAGGTGTGAAATCCACGGTATTTTAGCCTTGATCTAGCAGTGTACAGGTAAAACTCCCTATTACTATTGAAAGGTGAACATTGCTAAGAGAACTCATTAGACCTCTTATGATTTAAACTGTTCCAGAAGGACCTTGCGTTCGTGCAGTTGCTAGTATCTGCCAGCGATTTCCTAACTCGCTACTGAGACCTCACCATCTAGTAGTGAACCTTAAGAAGCCAGTGGAGGTCCTACCCCTTACCACTCTGCAACTAGTGAGACAGAAGAACTTGACCTATCCTAGCCTGGCAATTTCTTCATCATAAAGTAACTCGATTCCAGAGATAGAGAGTCGAGAAGGGATGTCCCTTCACTAATCTTCAGCGTAAGGTTAACGAGCTCAAGGCTAGTATTGCCGCCCTATTTTCGGAGTGAACGGCCTCTTCCGCTAGGAAGACGCTGCAGTCAGCAGGAAGCTCAAGCCTGCTGTTAATAGATAGTTCAAAAACCTCTTATTTGAGCTAGAAATGAGATTGAAGACGTAAAAAAACTTTTCTAAAATAATTGAGGTTAATTCTAGACATTATTTTGAATGATGAGGAGTTCTAACTCTGAACTGCCTTTGTTCATGTGGAACTCGAATCCATCCAGATTCAAGATTACAATATTAAACCAAATATTTATTTTTTGGTATTATAATTTTTTGAACAAAACTAGTTGTTTTTCTTAATATTACAAATAGCTTTTAGGGGCTGGTATATGTATTTAAATACATGCATTTATTCATTGCTAACATTTTTTTTTATCAAAAAAAAAGTATAACACCATAAAAAATTAAAAATTAGGCAATAAAAAATTGTAAGTGTGTCAAGAATAAATTTTTAGCAGCGCAAAAAATTCAATTGAATTAACAACAAGTTCACATTCAACTATAAACGATAAACTTACATGCAAATATACAAATAAGTGGTGAGTATGATGAATTAACACCAAAATACCACCACATTTAATGCCACAAATACTTTCGACCCAAAATAAGCTACAAAGTTTGCATTTTTTATGCTGAAATCAATTAAAGCAATCGAGTTGATATATAAATCATCAATCGTTATTTCATTTGGCATGCAACCCCAGACAAGTGCCATGCAAAATAATAAAGATTTGCAACACCAGCTCTGCGCTAAAGCAACAACAGCAACTGCAAGTCATGAAAATGCCAAGCAGCAAATTAGCTAGACAACAGCAGCAAACGGGCTAGGGCTAACAAAGCTGGCTGCCGCCAGCAGACAGCCAAGCGAACAATCAACTTATTAGCTTATTGCTGCCACCTTCCATGCTCACTGCAGCAGGGACTGCGACTGCGGCAACTGCTATAAACTTCATACTAATCAATGTTGGCTAGTTGATGAGCCAAACTATATGCATATACGAAGCGTTGCAATACCAGGCAAGCGATGGCTCAAGCGCTTAGAATTTGGGTTTACGAAATATCGATAGTTGTGCTCGGCAATACTCGTCTGCTATTGCGACGGCGACAACGGACGCTCTGCTTATTACAAATGTTACTATGTGTGTGTGTGTAGACATATGTGTGTGAGTGTTGCCATACTATGCGCATATGTTGCAATGTGTTGATAGTTCAAATTTGTTGATCACATCGCAACCACTTAGCATCTCCACCCATCCTTTCAGCAGTGGATACTAGTAAGTATACCCAAATACATATGGAGGTAAGTATGTATCTAAATTTAGATAGACATAATAGTGGAACTATATGGATATGTGTGAAGTTGAAATCATCAGAGCGCGCACAATGATACCTGTTCAATAAACCAGTAAACCAAGACTGCAATATTGCAATAAAAACATGAAAAGACCCTTCACAGCTTCAAGTTTTTCAACAAGAACTTGATTTTGATTGGTCAGTTTGTATGGCAACTATATATGTACATATGTGATCCGAACAATTTCTTCGGATTGTATTTTTGCTTTGGAGCATAATCTATGCCGAATTTCGTAAAGATAACTTGTCAAAAAAAAACAGTTTCCATACAAGAACTTGATTTGGATCGATCAGTTTGAGCAACTTCTTGGAGTGAAAAGGATGTGTACGAAATTTCAAATCGATATGCCAAAACCTGTTCAGGTCATATATATATATATATATATATCTAAACGCCGAGACAAATTAATTTCCCAGTATCTGGTCTGTATAAAAGATAAGTAAAATAAAATATTTCCTCTAAAGATTAAAGTATATTCATAAATATTCGCTAACTCCACTATACTCAACTAAAACATTGATACTCCTTCTCCTACAAAGCGAAAATTAAGTATTTCACGCCCTCCTCTTATATAACGCTATTTTTCGAAACAGCTACGTAAACCTAACTACCTAAGGAAATTATCTGACAATGAACATATAGTGAATAAGCCAAGATTCCGAAAAGTTATAAAATTATAAGCGTGTCACCGCCCCGTTATAGACAAAGTTGCATATCTCAAAAACTATTTGACCGATTTCAAGCAAATTTGGTACATATAAGAAGAAAAAGAAGATAATTGTTAGTGGAATTAGAAAAGGC